CAGAAGGTAAGACAGAGTTGGGAGCACAACAGGCAGATGTACTGAAATACACTGCTGAGGGGAGCAGCTGGTGAGACAGGAGAGGTCTGTTGCACCATGTGGGTCAACAGGTGTAGTTTCCCTGTGCTGAGACTTAGCCCCAGTGACTACCTTATTCTGAATTTTAAAAGGAATCCTAATGTTTCCTCATAGAGTGACACTGATTTTAGTTGTGAAAACAAAAATGTGCTTTTTTGTAAATGTCAAATTGAAATGAAATCAGTGGCTTGTTTTAAACTGGACAGTTTACACCATTTACATATATTGGGATTACTGATACATCTGGACTTTTTTCTATCATTTATATTTAGTTTAGATGATTTACATACACTATACTGTTAGTGACTATCCTTAGTATTTTATGATTTAAAGTTAATACTTCAATGCCTCAACTTCCCCTCTCTCTCAGGAATAGGTATTTCCCTATCTTTCCCCTAATTTTCTTACCACTCTTGTCCAGAATTTCTGTTGGCTTAAAAAGTCTTCTACTGGCTTGTTTTTCTTTTTTTGAGGAAAGAGGTGGTTTTACTGAAATAGGCTGCTGAGAGGGGCGGCAAATGGATAGCGGAAGTTATCTTTGAGTTGGTTTATTTTATTTTATTTGTTAATAAACTTGCTTATACCTTAGATCACCTTTCTGAATGTACTATCTTTTGATAGTAAAACCTCATTTCAAAATACATTTTTACTTAATTCATGAAACAATAATTTTACCTTCTGTAACATCAAGCTGACATTTTGTTTTCTAGTGCTATGAAAACAATATTCCACTGTTGATAGTCTTATCCCTTTACAATTTCTCTTTTGTTTCAGAATGTTCTCTTTTGTAATTTAATGTCACGACAGTGGTACTATGTAATTATTATTTCTTTTTTATTTGTCTTGTATGGAGAATACTTGGATATCTTTCATCTTTCAGCTACCATCTCATTAATGCTAGATCTCTTCCATTCTTTCCTCTGGGGCCTTCAGTCCACCTTTCATTTCTCTTAACCATATTTGCATATATCCTATTTCCTTATTTCTTTGTTTTGGTATTGATTTTTTTCAGAGATCTCTTCACATTTGCCAGTTATCTGCTGATAACCCTCCCCCTGAGTTTCACAATTGTTATTTTTCATTTTGGGATTTTAAAATATTGGCTGAAGAGTATTTAAGAGGGAGAGCAAAATGGTGGCAGAATGAAAATGCTGGGTTTAGTTCCTTCACATACTCAAAGCTAGGTTGTGGATGATCTGTAGCTAAGTGTTTAAAGAAGCACTCCCATCTAAATCAAAGTGAAGAAATACACAAAATAAACAAGGAAATAGACCCAGAAACGAAAAACACAGTAGCAGTTGCAAATTGATAATCACTGTAAATGTAAATGGACTGAACTCACCAGAGAATAAAGGGCGGCTGGATCTGAAAACAAAACCCAACTTAATATTGCGTTTAGAAGACCCATCTTAGTTCCAAAAAAAAAAATAAAAAAAACCAAAAAACAGGATCAAGACAAGTGGATGTATTAATGTTTTTGTGTCCTTTGGGAAGGAGCTGGAAGGGATCACGCTCAGTGAAATTGTCAGAAAGAAAAAAAGAACTATTAGATGGCTGCACTTATAGGAGAAATATAGAGGAACCAAGTAAACAATCAGGAAAAAAAAGACTAGCTATGCTAAAGTAAAACTCAAAATCAAAGGCAACTATAGATCAGAGATATCCTGTAAGGAGAGACATCCTGTAAGGGAGAAGGATTGGGGTGGGGTGTGAAGAGCACAAGGGGTTATGGTGATGATGCACGGGTGAACTGGTGGTGGGAATTTCATGGGGAAGCCATACGTTCATACGTTGTACAAAAATGAAGGATGATGTAATGAATATATATATATATATATATAAACAAGTAGATGGAGAACAATTCTATGAGCACATATGACCCCAAAGAGGGGCAGGGCAGCCAAACTTAGATAAAATAAACTTACAGTTAAAAGATAATAAGAGACAGGGATGGATAATACATAATGATTTAAGGGATCAACACATTCATCAAGATGTTAACACTTGTTAATATATATGCACCAAATGAAGGAGCACCAAAATATTTAATGCCATGATTAACAAAATCTAAAAACAGACATTGGCCTCAACACAATAGTGGTGGGGGACTTTAACACCCAATTTCAACAATGGATTGATCATCTAAATAGAAAATCAGCAAGGAAACATTAGCCTTAAATGAGGAATTAGACCAGATGTGCCTACATTACTGGGCACTACACTCAAAAAATACCTGAGCACAATCTTATCAAATTCACATGGCACATTTTACAGGACAGACCACTTGCTTGGTCACAAGTGTCAATATGTACATGAAGACTGAAATCATAGCCAGTATCTTCTCTAATCACAATGCAATCAATTACAGAAAGAAAGCAGGAAGCCAAACAATTGGCTTTAAACAACTTCTTTAAAGAAACTTCTTTAAAGAAGAAATGAAAAATTTACCTGGAAACAAATGAAAATGAAAATACTATCTTCCAGAATCTATGGGATGGAATAGATGCTGTACTAAGAGAGAAGAATATAACAATATTGGCCCACATCATAAGTAAACAGCCCAAGTAAATAATCTAACATTACAGCTTAAGGAATTAGAAAAAGAACAAATGAAACCAAAAGCCAGTGAAAGGAAATAGTGAAAATTAAAACCGTATGTTCAGCCATGATTCAACAACTGCACCCCTAGGAATCTACCCAAAGAATACAAAAATCCCAAATTTGAAGGAATATATGTACTACTATGTTACCAGAGCACTAGCACTATTTACAATAGTCAAGTTATGGAAACAACCTAAAGACCCATCAAAAGATCAGTAGATTAAGAAAATGTGGAACAGTACTCAGCTTTGAATTCTTGCCATTTATAACTACATGGGTAGGACTATAGAGAATTTTGCCAAGTAAAATAAGTCAGAAGAAGAAAAACAAATGCTGGATGAACTCGCTCGCAAGTGGAATATAGAGGGAAAATAATGGAACTGACAAAGTAAATCAAAACAAATCCTAGAAATATGACTGTAGAATTAAAGTTGCTAGAGGGAGAGGTTAAGTGGGAAGAATGCTGGAAAAGGCCCAAGAGCGTAGTCTAAAGGACTATGGATGCTTTGATGGGATTGCTGGTGTCATGATACACATCTGACGAGTTGTAAAACTATCCCACTAAATCATGTATAGCATTGTAAAATGTTAAAGAAAACAAATTTTAAAAAAAGATTGTTAATTTCTTTAAAAGTTCTGCCAATTCTGGTAATATTAGATGTATACTTACATTTTATACATAGCCATTATCTATTTTGTATTTGAGAATTTTAATATGTGCACTCTTTTGGAGAAGATATCTAAATTTACTGTTTTTGTTGGCTCTCATTAAGGAGGCTCCCGGTCTCATAAATTAGGTGATCTTTGCCAGTCTGTAACATTTAACTTTGTAGAAGTTCTAAGTTCCCGTCCTGTAGAAACTTTCCTTCAGAGAACATTTCATTCTCTGGTAGGTAGAGGTGCAAATTAGACTTCAAACTAGAGAATTTTAACACAATATAAATTCTATTGCTACTGCAAGGCTTACTGTCTTCAGAGTAGTGTTATAGGAATCCATCCTTGGCAATCCCATTTCTTCTGGGTGCTGCATTTCCAAAATCTTCTTGCCATTTTATCTTTTCCAACCTTCTACTCTGGTCTATTCTAACTCAGTTTCTAGTTCCAACTGCTACATATTCCCATCTTAACTATTGGGTGATGAAGCCATAGCTTTGTTCAGATTTATATACAAGTTTATTTGCTTATTGTAGGGTGATGGTTAGACACCACTCATACCTTTAATGAGATTAGCAAATAATTAAAATTCACATCTTATTAGAAGTGAAAAGTATGCAAAATTTCTGACACTTAGATGGTTATTTATAGTTTATATACATGTGCTTACAAATACACATATTTATATACCTATATACATATAAGGCAAATATTTCAGAGAAATACTAGACCTCAAAAGATGGTTAGGAAGAAAATAAGCACTGTAAGTTAAGATTATGATCCATGGATTGGCTTTGCCTTTTTGTGTTTTTCATACTCATCCTCACTTGCCTTGTGAAGATAGTAGCACCTGTAAAATTTTTGTGAGCTTTTAATCTGTAATGGACTTTCTCCTAGTCAACAGCTAATGGTAATTTCCACTATCACCTCAATTTACAGTATTGAGATAGCATGAATCATTTTATATTTCTAAAATATTTTAATTGCTGTTTTTAAAATAAGATCACCATAAAATGGCAAGTATTCTGTTTTCATTTACCTATTTTCTGAAATATCAGGTCTTGAAAAATAGTAAGTAAACCTCAAACAAGAGAAAAGTACACATAATACTGGTGCTCAAATTTTAGCAATAATGTCTTCGTTTATGAAAACTTTGATGCCTTTACACCCCACATTTCAATTCTTAGTGTCAAGCACACAGAATATATTTCATAAACACCCATTGAGTGAAAGATGCTTATACTAAGCTTATTATCAGAACACAAATGTTCTCGACTATTAATAGTGAAGTAGACAATTTGCTCAAAATTGTCATGATTAAGCTCCTCCCCAAGACAGAAAGTACACACAAGAAGGCTAACCAAAGTTAGTCTTTGAGATTTTGATTACAATAAAGCGAATTCATATTTTGACCAATAAGTAGTTCCCAAAAGGAAATAATACTTAAAACCAAGTTACAAATTACAATCTATTTAAACTTTAATTTGTGCATTTGTGGTAATTTATGACTGCAAAACACTTTTTTTTCTTAGAATGACATAAAGGCACATTTCATTTGAATGCATAGTGTACCATTCTAAAATATTCTAATTTCCTTAAAAAGTGCTTTAGCAGTCACTTACACATACAGTAATAGCAAAATATATTTACACTCTATAGTTTAAAAATTTTTAATCTGACTAAAATATATATATATATATATATTTAAGACTACAGAAAAAAAAATTAGTGCTTTCTTCAGCTTAATTGTGTGAATATAGGCTGCCCTCTAATTTTTTTTTTAGTGATTGACTTCTAGTTAAAAAGTTTCTGTACACTGTGTAGTTACAAAATGCTATGTCAATTTTCAATGCTAAAAGTCTATTTCAGACATTGTTCTCTCTGCATAGTTGAGAACCAGAAAAGGTGAGCAGACTGTACCTCAAAAGTACTTAGTGTTCTTTTTAATATTTTGTTAACACTGTTTAAATTAAAGCCAGATAGTTAAGCTAAGATTCTCTACTGTCCTTTACCAACGAAGTTAACTGGTGTTTTAAAATAAAATAACTTCAAACAGAATATTGCTCCCCCACTGTGTATGATTTTCTCCCCAAGGATCTTGGATAATAATCAATTTGAAAAGAATGCATGAAATATCTCTGAACAATTAATGATTATTCTCAGAGTGCAACAAAAAACATGCCAATTTATGTGTCAAGGTTAACATATCTATGTTTTTAGCTCAACTCTAAATTCATATACTTTCATGTTTCTTACAGGATTCAAACTTGTATATTTTTTATGACGTAAGACCACTTTGATTAAATGGTTAATTGTGTATGGTCAGTTAACAATTTGCTATTCCAGAGGTATGATGACCCCAACATGCTAAAGCACAGAATGAAAGATGTTATTATTGAAATAAAAACAATTAAATCATAGGATGATGGGAGAAAGAAAAAAGAAAAAAAAAAAAACTCCAGGCAAGTGGAAAAGTCATGGTTTGCAAAAGACTTTCCTATAAGAGCATTAAAAAAAAAAAAAAGCCACAATGGATCCTCTGTAAAAAGTACTTGATCAATTTTCGAGTCTTTTGAGGTACAGCTTTAGTGTTATAATAATTTTTATAAAATATAGACTGTTTTATCAAAAATATTTATACATTCTGTTACAATATATTGCTTTTGCCCTCAGTACTGCCAATATAAAGTCTGGATCCAGTGGCCCAAAATGTACAAATGCACTTAACATATATGCTGGAGTTTGAGGTGTCTGCTTGGCCACTGTACAAAAGTGATAAAGTGGTGAAATTAAATAATAAACCTACAACATAGAATACATTACAACTTGCACATATACATGTTCACAGCATGTATACAATGATAACCCCTATGTTTTAACAAAGATATAGTTTCCTTCTACAGTAGACACAAGAACAAGATGAACTAGGTTGATAAATATACAAGAGTATCAAAAAAGAGCAATCAGCTCACTGATTTTGGAAGAAGATACAACCGAACACACTGAATGTTTAGACTTTGGGAATGCATACACATGACAGAGTGTCTTGGTTCAGTTTGACCGAAGTCCTTACTCTTAAAATTTTAAGTAAATGCTGATGTTAGTTCCTGTTTCTCTGGGCATGGTTTCAGCATGGTTTAATAAACAAAAAATTGTTTGGCAAGTAGCTCTGTTGGAAAGCTATAAGGCTCTGTTACATGGTTAGTAAAGATAAGGCAATCAAAATTTTCTAATAAATATAGAAAAATTATAAAACATCCATTCATTTCATTTAAAAAAGGCCCCCAAAATGTGCATAATCTACTACTAATTTTTTTGACGTTACAATAATTTCTTTAAAAAAATAAGAATATTTGCCTTGTTCAAACAGAATCATACTATGTGTAAATAGTAATAGCATCCCAAGCCCTTTTGTTTTCTTTTTGTAAAATATAGCTAAGTGAAATTAACTGATTAATAACCTTCCTTTCATTGAAAGCAGACATATAGCAAAACTACATACAGAAGACATATAGCAAAACTACATACAGCAAAACTACATACAGAAGACATATAGCAAAAACAGAAGTGTTTTTTTAAAACTTTGATCCAAATGTACTACTCATTTGTGGTAGATTTCATAGCCAATGTTCATTCAGCTTAAACTCCATGAAAACTGTTTCCAGTGCTCAGATTTATGTTGAAATTACATTGAGAAACTACTTTTTAAGAAGATGTTAGAGTAATATTTAAACAAATCTTCATGTGTTTAAAAAAACTCAGAAGCTAATGGTGGCACAGAGAGCAAATGGAGGGTTGCTATTTTTAAGAGGTCTTCTTGTGAGTCAGTCTGCTTTGTTTCACAGTGTCTAGGAATTTAACACCAATCAGCAATGTAGTCAAAATCTCTGAACATTTCTTGCTCCTCTTCTGAAAGTATCCTTGGTTCTCGAGGTGGAGTCAGAATAGGTGCTTCTGAGGTAAATTCATCATCAAAATTACTAACATCTTCCCGTCCTCTAATGGTAGGTACAAAAGGCGGCTTGACTTTTTTATCCATCAGAGCACTCCAATCAACTAGCTGGATTATAAAATATAAAATGACCAGTTTAGTTCCCTACTCCTTATTGTGTTTTTGTTTTACAAAAATGTAATTAAATTACTTACCCGGAAAAATGGATGCTTCTTTACATCTTCTGCATCTTTCTCACCAGCTCCAAGGCGCCGCTCAGGATTTCTTCTTAATAGCTAACAACATAAAGTAAAAGCAATTTAAACCAGCAACTTCACTGACAAGGAGTCTCACTGCAACAGATGTTTTGGGGGGATGTGTTTATCTAAACTGTGCAACATCTATGAAGTGAAAAAACAAGTTCTAATGGAAAATATCCTTCAATATAAAAAATGTAAGTAGTTTAAAACCATTAATTCTTACCCTTCTCATTATGGAAATGGCTTCTGTAGATAAAAACCTTGGATATCTTACTTCGTCATTTACAATACTATCAAAAACCTCCTCTTCATCATCACCAGGAAAGGGAGACTAGAAGAAATACCTCTGAGTAAGTAAAATGAGGTTTAATACAGTAAAACCCCACCATGCTCCAAAGCACAGCCAAGCAGTAAGAGGAAAACAAACAAACGAAAACACCCACCAAACAATAAACTTTCTACGAGAAACCACAACAGGTGCCATTGCCTAGAGGGTGTGCGATATACTCAAACTAAATTATTCTGTGAATTTACTCCATAGATCTTTACAACCAATTTGGTCATATTATATATAATATATTTTAATTTCCCTGATACTTTCATTTCTACTTGGCACATGGAAAGACGGATCTTTTAGTTATGTTAGGTCATGTCTGAAACCTATCTAATCTTCAAAACATGTACAATTATAAATTTTAAACACAAATTTGAAAAATCTGTGACTACTGTCAGTGAAATTTCAATCACTTGAAATGATAAGTGTGTCAAATTTTAGGCGAGACTAAAAATAGTTGCTAAAAAGTCACTAATGCTATGAAATTATAAAGTATTTTAAATCTTAAGTTTAGTTCTTTTTCCCAACTACTCTCTTATGGAGGTACAAAAGAGAATTAAGACAGCAAAAGAGCAATCCAGGAGAATAGCCGGATCACACGTTTCATCATCTGTTCACTGTCAAGTCTTCTAGTCACTTCGAATAAGATAAATTACAATCAGCTGGCTCTTAATTGCGTAGTATTCTAAAATAAACTCAGTGTTTTCACACATCATGTGTACTATCGAGAGTAAATTTTAAGTAGCATATAATTTTTGGTAACTTAATTAAACTTCACATATAAATGAACACTACATTTAAAAAAACAATAAAATATTACAACTTTCTTTGCTATGATTTACTGTTTCCTAAGTGGTGATGATTTCTGTGTATGACTAAATTATCTCCAGAAATTTATTTTCGGTTAAAGAAAATGTTAATATTAAATGTTAATATTTTCAACTTTGCTGTACTTTTGACTTTTCATGACAGATATAAAGTCAATGCATTAGTCTTCTTGCTACTCTGTTCAGTTATAATTATGTCTTAAAATCATAAAATATAACCATAGCATGACTAAAATATAAGGAACTATTTTCAAAGCACTGGTATTGCATTCTACAGAAAACACAAGAATTTCTAAAAAACAAATACAGTGAACGTAATACTCACAGGTAATCATTATTACAATTACTTAAAAATGTAATTTCTACTTATGCAGGAAACATATTAAGTGGTTTTCTGAATGGCAGCTTTGGTTTTTTTTCAACCAACCTTCCCTTCTTCGCTCTCATCTATTCCATAGTGCTTACCTCACCAACAAGCATTTCATATATAAGTACACCAAGGCCCCACCAATCTACTGCCCTTGTATAGGATGTTTCTGTTAATACTTCTGGGGCAAGAAATTCAGGTGTGCCACAAAATGTGCTTGTTCTATCTCCATATCCCATTCCTGAAAAAAGTAAAATTTGAGTATTTGTTAACATAGAAAAAAAATTGGCATAAAAATAAGAAGATATCCTTGGGAAGTAAAATTAAAGTGGCACATTTTGTGAGGTGACCAAATTCAAGAACATAAAACAAAGACTTTTAAAGAAAATGTTAAGTTTATCAAATGTGTTACATAGTATAAAGCAATTATATTAATATTTTGACTAGTTTCCAAATATATTTTCCTCACAATTCTACAAATTTAAGATGATGCCTCAATATATTCTACAAATTAAAGCTCATTATGAGTGCCATATTATGTAAGAATTTGAAATAAATATTATCAAATCTAAATCTAAATATTTATGCACTAGTAATAACTGGAAACCACACAAATTTCTAAGTTTAGGACTCAGACAAAGTACTTTAGGGTGGAAGATTTTTTATTTTTTGCAAAATTTCTGAACATTATCAGGTTGGTCTTTCTTTTTCAGTAAAATATCTTTAAAAGAAGTTGCAACAATATCTACATGCAGAAAAAATACTAAAATGATCTGGCTATTCAATACATATTTGTGATAACCTATACCTATTATATTCTAGGCAACCCATGCTAAGTGGTAGGAACACAAAAATGAGAGTTCTTATCTCAGATGGAAGTAACAGATACTTGTGTGTATACACATATAAATAAAATTTTATAATGATATGGTAAGAGTAAGATATCATGGAAACACATTGAAGAATGACTCCTGACAGCTGGGACAGGAGAAGAGTCTCAGGTAATTTATCCGGGGAGATGATACTCGAGCTGAGTCTCAAGGATAAGTGGATGTTAGCAAATAGAGCTGATGGGTGACAGTGGTAAAGAGATACAGCCTGTAAGCAGTTTTTTGCTAAGATAGAATGTAGTTGGCAGACCAACAGCAAAAGACCTGGCTGGGGAAATAAGCAGGCAAATCAGGAAGGACACTGTATATCATATTTTGCCCATTAAAGGATAAAAGCAGGGTTATATCATGGTAAGACTGGTATTTATGTGGGCTTCTTTAACATTTTAGTAATTACATGCAAAGTGATATAAAGGAGAAAAAGACTAGGGATAGTAGAGGTTAATAGGCTACTAAAGTAGTCTTGTCAAAACAAGATGATGGCTGGCAGTAGGGGCAGAAGAGAAAAGAAAGATTAAAGAAGTAGATGTCAGCACAATTTGATGATTAAGTAGATGTAGAAAGCAGAAAAGAAAACAGAATCTAGATAGAATTCCACATTTTCAAACTGGAAGCCTGAGAGGACTATTAACTATGAGCTAGACTTTTTGAGGAAAAGAGGTTTTTATTGATTGATTGATTGATTGATATAGCTTTTGAGGTGACTATTAAAGTAAATGGTTGAGTGTGTCAGGAAAAAAAATTCATATGCTTTCATATGTTTAGGAATCATAATCATATAGTGAAGAATGGGCCAAGTCAGACCCTGAGGAACAAAAACATTTATATCAACAATGTCAAATACTGAGATGCCAAATAAGAGAAAAAAACTTCTACCGGATTCAATAATTAGGTGTCAGTGGCTAACCAGTGAGCAGCTATTTACAGTTTATTCATTAATTCATGCAACTATTTAAATTAAGATATGACAAGCAATATACTATGGGTTTGAGAAGCAAAGCTCATAGGAAAGCCACCAGTGTAAAGGGAGAGATGGACAAATTTATAATACAATATACTAAGTGTAAAGGTAAAAATACCTCTTCACTTATATTTTAGTAATTGTATCATATAATTACCTACAATTCTTTTAATATTCCTAAACAGGAAAGTTTATTTCTATTTTACATGTGAGAGAAAAGACTCAATCAGTTTCAAACTATCTTCCTCAAAGATAGGCAGTAAATAAATGGCAGAGTTAAGATTCAAACCTAGGACTATCTACCTGGTGCCTATGCTCATGCTGTTTCCATTTTCTTATGCTACCTCTGGTTCAAATTTCCCTAGTTCATTTATGTTTCAGTACACAGAAAGCATTCTTGAGACATACCCATATAGTTTTCCTATTTAAAAAAGCATTAATAAACATTTTTAAAAGCTACAGGTCTATTATTTACTTTGTATAATGCCTGCAGAATAAAAATCTGGTGCTTTCTTAGAGTTGTGATAAAATTATTAATCATACAAAGAAAGTCTTAATTTTTTAGTTGTGAATCCTGAAAACAATCTTATTCACATCTATAGAACAAATTTGTAATGCGATAATTCTTAATGTTGTATAATAAATCTATTAATACTTTAATCTATTTTGCTTCTCACAGACAAACTTGAAAACTACCAACGTACAAAGAACAGTAATCTAGAAAAAGAACTTGAAAATACCCAATTACCTTCTTTGCAAAGACCAAAATCAGCAATTTTCACAAAGCCCTCTGTATCTAGCAATAAGTTATCCAATTTCAAATCCCTATTCAGGATAAAAAAAAAAAGTAAAATGAAAAAAAAATCAATAAAATCAATAGATGATGTAGTGAAATAATTGCTTCAACAGGAGCCATACTTAACTAAAAAGCCAAGTTTTTTTCCAGTTATGATTTGAGATTTAATTACTATGTCACAAATGGTAATTTTTTTGTATTGATCTATAACTTACTTTCTGAATAATGCTTCCCGATCACAGAGAAGTAGAAGAATGATTTGAAGAAGTAGTGCTTTATTTCTTTAAATGTATATTTTAAAGAACAGAAGGATTTCAAGTGCCTTTACCTCAGGTTTTATTAATTTGTTATTTGTAATAATCTGACTTCAACTAAATTTGAAATTTGCCTATATACCACCCATAAGAAAGAATCATCAAGCTAAGTAAGGTATTAGGGGGCCAGATTTAACCTCCTAAGTGAGTAATTCAAAATAAAGAGAAAGCTGTCTACCTATACTAACAGATTATAAAGTAGTTGAAAACATTTTCTACGTTGAGTAAAACAGAACCTTACAGTGGAAATATTGTTAGAAATTTGAACAAATCAATATGTATTGTCTAATTTTGAAGAGCTTTTCCATAATTTGTCTAGTCTAGAGTAATGACAGATTGTACTTTATCACTTGTACACTCGTCTAAAACTCTTACTAGTCCTCCGTTTGATAAGAACTTTGTGCCAGTACAAAAATCAGTTATTTCACCTAATATACTGTTTAGATGACACAGAGCACTCGTGAAGGGAGCAGGATGATGTTCTGCACTCTATCACAAGCTATTTAGCTTAATGTGTACACACTTTGTGTACTACTTGTCTCAGGTTTTCATCCGTAGAATAGTTGAATGTAAGATACTCACTAGGATAAACATTGTTAATATGTGTTATAAAAGACCAACTTAAAATTCAACTATTTTAATTCCAAAATGGGCAGAGGATCAGGAATGAAGAGGTTCATTTTATAATTACTGTGTTAACCACATCTTTCAAAATTCAACTTTTACTTTTTTTGTTGTCTTTTATAGGAAAGAGAAAATTAAGAAGCTGTAGTTAAATATAAATTGTCCTTCCTAATTATGTAACTAATTCTTATCACAACAAAGTAAGCCATTAGAAAGGGTCAAAACTTCACTTACCTATACACAATTTTGTGTTCGTGTAAATACTGCAACCCAAGAACTACACATGCAGCATAAAATCTGTTTGAAGAATTAAATCAAAGAAATTTAATAAATTCTCCTGCTTTGAATTCTAGTTTATACACTTATGCTTCAACACAGAACTCTATAGGTAACTAACATGACAGATGTTTATTTGTCCTCCCTATGAGCAAACATAGTAAGAGATATGATACTAAGGGTAAAATTAAAAAAAAATTACAATCTTTAGAACTGAAGTCACTAACTTTGCCTGGTGGAATCAGTGATGTCTTAACAGTAAATATTTGATCTGTTTCTGTAGGAGAAATACAACTTGCCAGAAGAAAAGAAGATAACATGAAAGGTAGAACTTCCATTGGGGAAATTTCAAAGGGCACTCCCCTAAGAAGAAAATGTAGAGACAGACAACGAATACCAAGTTTCTTGGTGTGGCTGAAGTACAGAATGGTGAAGAAGCAGTAGTAGATGAGGTTAAAAAGACAGCTGCATTCAAACAGTGAAGGCCCCTGAATGTTAATTAATCAAGGATCATGAAATCCTTAGTAATAGAGAATCAAACCATTTTAATGAGAACAGAATGACCAGACTTATGTTAGAGAGATTTTTCTTAAAGTAATGTGAAAACTAAGTGTAGTAATAGCTATAAATATAGAAGGAAAAAAGAATAGATAAAGCTTTACAATAGTACAAACAGGCTATCATAAGAACATCCATATAGTGGCAAAAACAAAAATCAGATATGACTCTAGAGAAACTAAAGAAAAAGCAGTATGAGTCTCAGGCAGCTGTAGACAATGAAAGGGAAAGAAAATATATGATGGAAAAGGGAAAGATGATTCAAAGTTTAATGTCATGAAAAGGTAAAGAAATGAGTTTGACTTTACATATGTTTACACTGACCTGCCTTGGGACAGGCAAAGAGGTCTAGAAATTCAAAATAGGGGTTTAGATTTTAGAAAAACTTGAACCTAGCTAGAATATTAACTCTTGAAAGACTAGATCAAAGATTGGATCATGACTGTCTTTTTTTGGTGTTTATCTTAAATACTTGGCATAATGGCTAATGCATGGTAATTTATTGAATGAACAGATAAGGTAACAAATAACTGAATTTAAAAAAATGAAGCTCTACTGATAGCCTAGAAGGGAGACACTTAAGAAAATCAGTTCTTAATCACACAAGTCATACATGGATATTTTCTTTATAAAACCCCAGCTCCAAAGTGCTAAAGTTAGTAGCAGGGGAGTTAAGGGGAGAGAACAAAGTGGAGAGGGAGCACAATGGACTATGGATGTTGTAGGGGTGGGTGTAGTGTGCTAACAACACCTGAAGGAAGAGTTCCTATACCTCTGAATCATTTATAGCACTGTAAACCAATGTTATCTCAACTGAAGAAAGCTTCTCAAAAAAAAAAAAAAGGTGAATATTCAGATTTTCAGAATATATTTAGATACATTTAAATAATATAGTTATGTTTTGTGTTTACTTATTTTTGCCAAAATGGACAATAATTTGGGAAAATTTTAAAATGCAAAGGTGATCATTTAGAAATATTTGCCTACATATTAGCTACTATGTAATTACTTAAATTAAATTTACTTTTATATGTAAGATTTTAGCAAACTTATCTGGGTGACCAAATACTGTAAAAAGTATGAAAATACCTTCATTTCTCCTTTGTTTCATTCTTTATAAGCAGATTCCTCTACTGATAATCAGATATACTATTTAAGATAAAGATTTCATTGAATGTTTATATTAAGTCAGGTACTATTAAATATTTTTAGTTATTGGCTTGTTTAATCTTGAAATGCAGCCTTTAAGTATTTTTTCCTTTTTTTAAATTTTATAATAGTTTATTTTTACATATTTTTGTGCATTTTTCCATCTCAGTTGCAATCCTCCTTGGGTTTCCCATCACAAAATCACCCATGTGCCACAGTCCAGTGCATCTCCCTTCCCCCACTGTTTTTGCTCCTATTCCTCACTCCACCCCCACAAAATGTCTCTGATGTATAGCTGTTCATCATTATAAGTATTTTACAGAAACTGAAAACAACGTTTTCCAAAAGTGTAACTGATTTATAAAAAGTCACAGTTAGAAAAGAGCAAAACTAGGCAACAAACTAATTTTGATTCCATAATCTTATTCAATAAAGTCACCTATCACCTATTATGTATCAACTATCATTCCACAAATAGAATAGAATACGGTTCTTATTCTTCTCCTTTAAGGAGGGGAAGACAAAAACTGAAAATGTAAATGATAAATAAGATGAACTCAGCACTATGGAGAAAACAAAATAAGTGATATAGAAAACAGAGTGCCCTGATAAGGTAATAAAAACATCCTCAAAGACATCTGAGTTAAGTGCTAAATGATTTGAAGTAGATAATTTAGGTATGAAGTAAGATGTAGCATTTCATTCTTGTATTTCACTGAACTTAATTGTTTCATACAGATATAATTTACATTTTCAGCAAAACCCCCAAAATTCTCTAAGATAAGAGGTGGATTTAGGAAAACAAACATTAACACGTCACTATATGACATTAACAGGTAAGGCACAGTCTAGAGTCTAGATATCCTGATTTTAATTTTTTTTTTAAAGATTTATTTATTTACTCATATAGAACTGGGGTACAGGCCAGAGGCTCAGGGGTGGCGAGAGGATTCACCAGGGACAGAGCAGGGAGCAGAACAGAGAGATGGAGGAAGTACACTGCTGAGGGGAGCAGCGGGCGGGTCGCCATGTGGATCTACCCTGATTTTAATTTTTAAATAATCAGGAAATAATTAGTGACCTCTATCACTTTTGCCTTTTTTTAAAAAAAATAAAAAGCTTTACTGGCCCTCCCTGGTGGCACAGCGGGTTAAAGCACAGCACTAAGAAGCTTAAACCACTTCCGCATGAGTTCGATCCCGATCCCCCGCCTGCCCTGGAGGAGACATGGCAAGGCAGACCTCTCCTGACCCGCCCGCTGCTCCCCACCCGCTGCTCCCCTCAGCAGTGTACTTCGTTGATCTTCCTGTTCTGCTCCCCACTCTGTCTCTGGTGAATCCTCTTACCCTCCGCATCTCTGGCCTGTACCCCAGTTCTGTATGAATAAATAAATAAATCTTAAAAAAAAAAAAAGCTTTACTATCCATCAGAACCAACACCCTATTTTTTCATCTGAAATATGAATGTATAATAGTATTGCTGTACTTTATATATCACTAATGGCTATGATGACAATCAAATAAAAGGTATGGTTACTATTTCACCAGATACTAAAAACTTGAAAATCCGTAGGCAGGTACCAAAAATTTAGGAATAAACCCAATAGAAGTTTATACTGGTTTATGATTTTTACAACCTGAGATGTTTTGGAGGTAGGACGGATTTAACTTGCTAATAGCTTAGGTGTTGCATGTGGAGGGGAAAGATTAATATAACACACTGTATTTTAGCATAAACAACTGGTAGAATGTTCTGTCCTTGAGTGAGTTAGAGAAGCTGAGAAGAGTAATAAACATATGGAATGGGAGGTGAGTCAGGAAAATAGTAAAATTCTTCAGTACAGCTTCAGAAATTAAACAAAAAAATTCTTATTTGTCACCATACGAAAGGAAAAATCAAGTTGGGGGCTGATTTGTAAGTTTAAGAAAGAGGTTGAGTTATAAACAATTTGATAAATACCAGCATGTAGATTATACCTATTAAGAGTACTTTCCTAGCATCAAATTCTAGTCCCATTACTTGAGAGTTATAAAACAGTGATAATAATTGGAGAAAATATAATTTTATCTCATGTTCACTATTTTTATGCATTTTAATAAGCAAGCACCATATAATATCAAATGCAAAAAAACTGCAAAAAGTTAAATGTGACAGGGAGTCTATTTTTGTACTTTTCATTGATAGGAATACATACACAACTTTCTTTTATATGTAAAAGATATCATAAGCACATGTAAGCAACTACTTAATATTCTTTTAAATTATCCTTAAAAATGAAAATACAAGATTGTGCAAATGTGATACAGTTTTTTATGCTTTATTCATTTAACAATGTACTTTGAGTATAGCTAGTATTTAAGTCACTGTTCCATAAGGAGAAAATATAATAGAACAAAAGATATTTTACTGAAAGGAATATAAACTATGTATTTAAATTATCAACTACAATTTAGGGTTGCTAAACATCAACATGGACATTAGGATAAACAGAAATACCTAGGTATCACAAAAGGTTAAGTAGATCTCCAATATTCCCTGCAGAGACTTATCTTCCATGAGGGAAAAAAAAAAAAATTAAATTCTAGGAGCCTTTTTCTTCCTAGAGAGAAATCAGTAATAATAATAATGATAATAAAAAAAATTTCTAAAGCATACTCACACAGCTCTTGGTTCAGAAAAGACATCAGTATGAATGTGCATCATAAGGTCCCCACCGGCCGCATATTCCATTACAAAGCAAACATGCTCTTTGGTTTGGAAACATGCAAAAAGGTTCACCAAAAAGGGATGCCTTACACTATTCACAGTTTCAAAAATTCTTTTTTCACACATCAGGCTGTAAGAGAAAATATTGAAAAATTAATAAACTTTTACAGTACTAATAGAAAATAACAAAATGTGTCTTAGTTTTTGTATAAATTCCTTGAAATTTTTTGTCTATTTGATACATATTAGTTGAAATATACTAATGTGATCATAATGTATTCTATATAGATGTTGAAAATAAAGTTGTGCATCTAAAACTTATACTATGTTCTGAACTGTTATAGTCTCCAATAAACAGTTAATGAAATGAATAGTGAAATATCTGATTATATGACACAACTATGGAATTCACACTGATAGAAACGTAGTAGTACAAATGTAGCTAGTGGTTATAATTAATAAAAAAAAGCACAATTAGGGATGAAGTGCTGAATTTAGCAATCTAGAGTGTATTTAAAAAATATAGTTTGAGATAAGGTACTTTCAAGGATAGTATTTATAATTTATAAGCTACAACATTCAATGTTTTATTATATAATAGATGAAGGTGAAGTAAAACTATGCTACATAAAATTTTAATTTAGAAGGCTGACCAGAAAATAAAGAGGCGTGATAGAGAATTTCATACTATGCTTCGAAAGAAACTCCTTGAGAATTATGTAATTTCTATGTTAAATCTTCAGTAATGAAAGATTTTTTTTCCTCTAGAACTATTACAAGCTACTACAAAGAACAGTAGCCAAACTTACTAACTTTGGAAATGTCAGTTTTGCTATTTTCCTCTGAAAATAATTAGTAAATCAATTTTACTAAAAATTCAAACTAGAAAAAAAACAAGGTGAAATTTTATTCAAATAAAAGTTGGAATTACTTTTAACACCTAATCAAAATAAACAACTACATATATATATGTTTTATTAACAATGATATTTGCTTCTAATACAAAAGAAGCACTTGATTTTGAAATTGGACCAAAAATGAACGACTATCTGTTTTATAAAAATATTAAAGCTTTTATTTTGAAACTAAAATAAATTGCTAGATTTCTGTTGCTGTTGATTGTAAAATGCCAAACAAAAGTTCTGAGGTTAAAAGGTAGATTCTTCTTCCTCTCTCCCCCATCAAAAGTACTTTAAAAGTATTTACTTGGGTTCCAAATTATATTGGAATGATGAAAAATTAAATTAAATATTGAAAACAATTTAAATAATGCATGTTCCCTGTTGTGTAGAGGGACCATGGTATTTTAATCCTATATTAATAAAAAGCTGTCATCTGTATTATGAGCTAAAATTCTGTTAAAAGCCAACAATAAATGCAGCTGTTATGAAACTTTCGAAACTCATTAAAAATGTGCACATTTTATATGTAACTGTTGTGATTTGACACTATTTATAATTCTGTACATATTCAGAAACAGAAAGCCCTACTGTAATTGTTTATAAAGCTTTAGGCTATGTCCATAAAATAAATTCAAAGGCAATTAAAAGTACACTAAGAGCTTTGATTTTTGTCATTATTTAAATACACTGGGAAATAATGCCCTATGTATCTATTTTAAAGATTTAAGATTTATTCTAAAATGTCTATAATTTATGAAGTCAACTTAATTTTAAGTATTGTAGATGAAATATTCAAATGAAATAAGACAAATCTAAAAAGCATATTTAAAAGGAGGCACTTTCTTTATTGTCTATGGTTTATACATATGGATAAATTGCTAATTTAACATGAGTGAGTTTATGAGTGAATTATTGATTCTCAAATGTATGAGTGTTAGCAAAAACTTATGCTGAACATGTAAATGGTGAAAGGACTGAGAATCACAGATCAGAATACCTCTTAAAATGATTTTAATACCATTTATAGCAGTTAATTTGATGAAGCCTGGCAATGGGAATAGGTAGTTGGATGTTCTGGGAATATTAAGAGGAGGAAGGATCTTTATAGCCAAATTTTAGCAATAATCTTAACTTATGCATTCTATAGTATACCAAAAAGCATGTCTTTGACTTTTGCAACTTATCTAAAACTATATTCTTCATAAAAGTGCACAAGTGAATGAACATTACAGTAATCTAAGTTTAACAATCTTACTTGGGAATAAGGAAAAAGAATATTCTACTAATGGTAAATAGATAATATGTGTTCATTTAAAGTGCAGTTTTAAAAGTAAAATAAAATCCAGATCATAGATAGAAAATGTAATTTATTATATTACCATTTAGTTTAGAACCATTATTAAAAAAATAAGCCACTAGTAAACAATAATATAGGATTTTATGGATCTATTAAGAAGATGAGCTAGAAATGGTATAAATTCTGCTTAGTTATAATTAAATTATGTTATTTACAGACTTAGAAGTAGTAAATATACATTATTTTAAAAGATAGGCTGGTCAAGTCTTTATTTTCTCAATTAATTTTCCTCATCTTCCTTTACTCCTTTTTGCCCCCTTCTTCAAATTTCTGTAAGAATGAGTTTTATTTCTCTCCCTGAACAGCCAACTTTTCTGTTTTTGTGCCAGTTCTAATGGAGATTGTTTTTACTTCTATGTTAATGGACATAGATTTTAACTAAAATTAGAAAAGATTACTCATCAACTTTTCACCAAAGTTAGATTTTCAGAAATCTAGATTCAGGCTAAAGTGCATATTCTGATCTAGATATTCTTCTTTAACAGTAAGATTATGATCATTCTAAGTAGAACTGATTTAATTAGAAAGTGTTTACCTGTAGAGATTTAGCTCAAAGCACTAACATGTAGCAGAAAGCTGAAATATGAAAGAAACTGAAAACAAATTGAACTAATATCTATATAAATTATGTGATATAAACCACTAAGATGAACTGAAGTAGTAACAGTTTCCCAATACAATACAAAACAATTAACATTTACAGATCTGAACAACACAAATATTTTCCAGAAAAGAAAAATATTTCACCTTACTATTACTGCAATTATAAACAGACAATGCAATTAAAGTCCTGTTGGAACCAAGTACTTGTGTAACATAAAAGTATAATTCTAACCATATACAGTATGATATTCAGAACACTTAAATATTTTCAGAAAATCCTTCTTGGGTAGCTTGCTATTTTTTTTTTTAACATTAAAAAAAAACAAGCTTATTAGGAAAAGGAAAAAAGATAACACCTGCACAGATACAAGTGGGTGAAAAGAGCTCCCTGAGTAATTTTAGATAAAAGTTTATGTTTTTTTTTTAAAAAGATTTATTTATTCGTACAGAATTGGGGTACAGGCCAGAGATGTGGATGGTGAGAGGATTTACCAGAGACAGAGTGGGGAGCAGAACAGGCAGATCGACGAAGTACACTGCTGAGGGGAGCAGCGGGCGGGTCAGGAGAGGTCTGCCACGCCATGTGGTCACCTCCAGGGCAGGTGGGAATCGAACTCATGCGGAAGTGGCTTTAGCTTCTCAGTGCTGTGCTTTAACCCGCTGCACCACCAGGGAGGGTCCAAAAAGTATATGTTTTAATATGACTGAATATGAGGATCAGTAAATAAGAAATAGAGGTAAAAAAAAAAAAAAAGGCAGCACATGCAAAAGGAAAAGACTTTTTCATATAAAGGGCATTTCTCAATCTTTAGTTACTCTATTTCATGGATTAAAGGAAAGGTGGGTGAAACACTACAGGACATATAACTCAGTAACATCCTTAAAGATACATCACCCAAAGCAAGGATAGTGAAGGAAAGGATAAACAGCTGGGACTACATCAAGTTAAAGAGCTTCTGTCAGCAAAAGAGAAACTACACACAAAAAAAGTGACATCCTACTGATTGGAAGAAAACTTTTGCACACAATACTATTGACAAAGGACTGATCACAAAGGTACAAAAAGAGCTGATGAAACACAACAAAAATAAAGTGAACAACTCCATCAAAAAATGGGCAGAAGAACTAAAAAGACACTTCACCAAAGAGGAAATGTGGATGGCCAATAGGCAATGTAAAATTGTTCAACATCACTTGTAATAAAGGAAATGCAAATTAAACCACAATGAGATACTATCTCACACCAATGAGAAATGGCACATACACATATTAAAATAATTAGCAATAACAAATTTTCGTGAGAATGTAAAGAAAAAGGAACTTTCCTACACAGCTAGTGGGAATGCAAACTGGTGTAACCACTATGGAAAGCTGTTTGGAGGTTTCTCAAAATGCTAAAAATGGATCTTCCATATGACTCAGCAATCCCACTCCTAGGTGTCTACCCAAAGGCCACAAAACACTGATTCAAAGGATACCTGCACCCCCATGTTTACTGCTGCTCAATTTACAATAAGGGAAGACGTGGAATCAACTCAAATGCCCAAAACTAGATGATTGGGTTAAAAAGATGTGACACATATACACAATGGAATATTACTCAGCAATCAAAAAAGATAAACACATGCTTTTGCAGCAACACGGATGGAGCTGGAAGGGAAATAAGCCAGAAAGAAAAAGGAAAATACCAGATGGCTTCACTCACAACAGGAGCATAAGGGATCAGGAAAATAAACAAACAATTGTTATAAAGTAAAAATGAAAATCAATGAACATCTATAAGCCAGATATATTATATATTGGGGATGGAGAGAGGAACAGGATCAAAACTGGACTGGGAAGAGTGCTTGGGACTATGTTGATGGCATAGATGTGAATTGGTGGTTGGAAGTCCATGGGGATTACACTGAGATGGAAAAAATGCACAAAATGAAGAATGATATAAGAATAAATAATTTAAAAAAAGTTACTCTATTTCAATTAAACTTCACAAATGCTGGGAAAACATGAAAAACAGCAATTTGGTAGTTATCTCTATATAGCACATAAATTAATTTCATAAGTATTACCATAAAATATATGTTTAAAATATGTTGGTTTAAAATATATTTTTAAAATGTTAAAGTACACATTTTTAAAATATATGTGACTCAGTGATATCTAGTGAACTGCCTGGGACCAGAGAAGTCAGTTTTTCCACTCACAGTCCTAGAGTTTTTTCATTATAAAGGAGTGTGTCCCATTATTATCAAGTGATAGATCCTAATGTTTCTGCCCCCCTTATTTATTTATTCATTTTTACAGTGTTTGCTTTCTTTTCTCAGGCATATACCCAATATCCACCACCAATTCACATGTGCACCATCACCATAGAGCCCGTGTTCTTTATGCCCTTGCTATTCTCTTTCTAATGGTTTTAGAAATACTACCTTTTAAAAAATATCAAATGAAAGCTTCCTGTGGTAACATGCCATTATTAGACAATAATTTCCAATAATTAAAGACTACTTAAGATAGTCCTTTTTTTTGAAAAGATTCATTTATTCATGCATACAGAACTGGGGTACAGGCTAGAGGTGCAGGGATGGTGAGAGACTGAATGGGGATCAGAACAGGCAGAGCGACAAAGTACATTGGTGGAGGGAGTAGCGGGTCCGTCAAGAAAGGTCTGCCAAGCCACATGGATCACCTCCAGGGCCAGTGATTGAACTCACACTGAAGCAGCTGCTGTTCGGTTGCAGTGCTGCATCTTACCCTGTTGTGCTACAAGGAAGGGCCCAAGATAGTCCTTTTAAAGTATATTGCCCAACCTAGTTATAATATTACTTATTCCTAAAGTAGATGCATTTTAATAACTATATAGAGATGTATGCAATTTGTATTTATTAAACCCAGGAAGGTAAGATACTACAATATGGTGAAAAAAAAAAACATTTTTTTTAAAATGAAGGGAAAAAACAGATGTAGGTGGATTTTAAACACTATAATAGCCATTTAACTATAGAGCATCTGTAAATACCATTTAATTTCTTCCATTAGATGTACTAGGAAATAGCTTCACCTAACCACAAATAGTTCCTATGCCACATAAACACTACATCTCCAAGTAAAAAAAAACTAATAGAAATAGTTTAAGTATTCTGCACTCACTCTTTGATATTCATAACAAGTAAACTGTCATAATATGGCTAAGATGGAATGATTAGGAAGAAAACAATATTCAATTAGCAACTATGTCAAGTACAGATACATTTAGTTTCTTAAACATTACTATGAAAAAAGTTTTGCTATTGTGATAAATACAATTTTTATTTTATATTATAGCTTAAAACCAACCTGTCTACTTCATCTCGAGCAACAATATCTCCTTTCTTTAAAGCTTTTATAGCAAACATCTCGTTTGTGTGTTTATATTCAGCCAAAAGCACCTGAAATGAGATTAAAATAATTACTTATTTAATTATAAATAATTTTTAAAACAAATAAATTGATTTTTTTAGGTATTCCAGAAAATTTTAAAAACTACCTTCCCAAAATGTCCTCTACCCAAGACAGCACAACATCTGAAGTCTTGTAGATTAAACTGAAACATTTGTTGAGATCTGGAAATGATAATTTCAATTAAAAATAAGGCAAAAGAATGTGACCAAACATGAAATAACAAAGTTGTATACACATTCTTTACCTTTTATCCTCAAGTTCTCGGATATCACTGTATTTTAGGCCTGACTGAGGAATATCGGGATCATATTCTGACTGGGACTTTGGAAGTAAACTATTTCTGTCATTTTCAATGTCAAAAGCAGTTTCTGAATCCTGTAGAATATTAAATAATGAATATGCATTAAATCAGAAACATTCATAAAATTTAGAAAGTTAAAAAAAAGTGTCAATTCGAAAGAAATACTAACGAAAAAGGACTCAAATATTGATTACTCTTATGATTATTATTTTATATTTCTTATCTAAAAACATGAACAATATATCCATAATTCATATACAGAACTCATGTTAACTGAATGAGAAGATGTAGTGCTTTAGGCAATATGTCATGTGGAATCAAGCACTCACCAAAGTACATTCTAACTTTACAAGTCTATTCCATCTCTACTGGTTCATGAAAAATCATACGTTAATGTAAAGGCTTGCTATCACTAAGGAGCTGGTTATTTTCTGTCAACTTGGTCAAATTTAGTTAAGAAAAGCTTATTCATAAGAAACAAATACACATTTACATAGGTAATTTTTAATTAATTAAAAAGTGCACCTTAAACATTATGATGCTTTTACAGATAATTCACTTAATGATAAGGAATTACAAGATTTAAAATAACTTGCCTGCCTGGGTGTATCCACATCTCTTAATTCAGCAGATTCACCCACTTCTCCAAGGGAAGATTCACGTGGTGGGGCCGGAGGAGGCTCAGGTTCAAGATCAAAGTCTAATTTGGTTACTGCAGAATCACTTATAGAAAATAAAGTAATTCACCAAAACAGTAATCAAAATTAGTATTTTAAGTAACTTTAAAATGAAAGCAAACCACTTAGATTTTTTTTTAAGTAATAGAAGCACTATCAAAAACACTTTTTGAAAATGATTATTTTACTAGAACCACTGTAATCATTATATAGAAATGTCATAATAGCTATTCTATAAAATCAATGTTTAAAAATCTTAGACACATACCTTGCTGGAGGTGTAAATTCAGGGATGCGTACATCAACCACTGGCACTGTAGCAGGCACTGAAGCCTGAGGGCTAAAAGTGCCAGAATGATTTACTGTAGGAATAGCTCTTCTCACTAGCCTGCCCCAAGTGGCAATATTAATATTCATTTGAGGAGCTCTGAGAAATGTTTTGCCTGTGGGTATTGTGAATAAAGAAAATAGAACAAGTAATTTTTTAATATATTACCAAAAGCCATAATTTAAAAATTCATATCCATTTATAATTTATGAAGAATAAACAAAATTTGTCACTTTAAAAATAGCCTTTAACTATCTGCTATTAAGGCTAGGGAAAAGCAATAAAAATAGTTTTAGAAATAAATAGGAATTGTTCACTTGTTTTTTTAAATCTACTACTGACATGTGGTTAAGATTTTAAGAAAGAACTGTTGTCTTTCAGAGATAATAATATTCATGGATGGATCAATATGATGTCTGAGTCTGCTTCATATAATCTGAGCAAAGCAGTGAATATATGGAATACAGATGACACAAATCAGCCATGAGCTGACTGCTATTTGAAGCTGAATGATGTTACAATGCACTAGTCTATCTACTTAAGGCTATGTTTGAAATGTTCCTTAATAAAATGTTAGAAATAACTGAATAAAAGGCCAACTAGAGATGGATATTACTTTTTAAATACCAAAAACACTTTGTATTTTAATTCTTAATAATTACCTTGTTGTTTTGAAAAAATTTTCTTTTGTCTTTGGAGTTTTGGTCTTCTTTCAATAACTGGATTAAAAAAAGTAACCTGCGGTAAAGAAAATTCAAGTTGACAGCAATATAACAATGGATTTATGGTTGATGAAATTCACTAAACATTTACATTTTGAAAACTTAAGAGGATCATAGGTAAAATTTAGTCTATCATTTTTTAGAAAATGGACCAAGAAAAAATAGACCAAGAAAGACAAATTATTTATTTCAAGGCAATCCACCTATTCAATAGCAGAACTGAGCCAAGAAATCAAGTTGTCTCTTATTCAGCCCAATACTTTTTCCTTCTACATCATACTTCCTAGATATACAATTTCAGTTGCAGTTATGCACATTTAATAAAATACATGTATTACCTCTGCAAATAAAGTACCCTGTGGTTCCAAATAGAGACACATGCCATGCCGCTGGTTATCTAAAAAGTCTTCTAACCTCAGAAATTTTACAGCACACAGAGATCGCCAATCACGCCAATAAACTGAAATTTCCAATTCACGTGACTAGGATAATTAAAAAAAAGCAGAGAAGACATCATTGGACACACAACTAAATAAAATATTGCAAAGATAAAATAAAAATACAATAAACAAAGACAAAACACACAACAGTCACACTATTTTAAAGAACATTTTGTACTGCTTCTGTATTACGTTAACGAACATAAGTTTTAACTGAAAGATATTTATATTCCAAGAGTCTCCAACTAAGGTATCCATTTTAGGTAAAGAATACGCAATTGGGAACAATCAATACATATCAATGATGAGAGAAATACTTTTCCATGATGTAGCTTCAACCTTTTCAATTTTCGTCCTCCACTCAGTGTGTTACTGCTATGACTCCAGTGTTAGCTTCAAGAAGCCATTTCAGACCTTCTTACAGAGTCAAGAGAGATGGGCAAAGAGCATTTATTTTGCACTTAGTGTGACACACTAAGTGCTAATAAGCGCTCTAAGAACATGAGGTCATTCAATCTTCAACAAAATCACTGGGCAATAGGACCGGTGACAGCACAGACTGGATATGTAGGAAGGAAAAGGGACATTCAGACTAAACTTTATACAGAAAGACGTTCATTTATTTAAAAAAAAGTAAATTAGCCAGAACACAAATGTCTAAAAACCAGGGACAAATTCCACAGGGATTACAACTGAGATGGAAAAATGAACAAAAAGATTGAAAAACTAAATAAAAACAAAACAAAAAAAACAAAAAAACAACTAGGGACAAATTGAGTATACTGCATTATACTCTGTGACCATTAAAAATGTTACATGGAAAACACATTTAAGGTTTTAAAAATCAATTATTAAGTTCCTTACAGAATAGTTTATATATTAGAGTTGAGTCATAAACAGATCTCTACATAAATGTCATAATCAACATATATTTTAATTATGAAGCACTGGTCTTTTCTACATTTTGTTTTTCAGGATTCTGTAGACTACCCACAAGACAAAAACTTTTCATTTTAGACTCAACAAATTAAATACTTTTCATATAACAACTTTCCTATTATGTAAGCTCCTAGTAGTATATGTAATAAAAAATATTTTTTCACTTTAAATAATATTAGTTGATGCAAATGAACACAGGAAATTTATAAAACATAGAACATGAACAAAGTAACTCAAGGCACAATGTGTTGTGTTAGAAGGTCTCATAACCAATCAGAACTATAAAAGGCCTCCATGCCTCCCATCTCACTTCTTTGATATCTTATTATGGGAGAGAATACTTGCCCCAAAACAGGAAACGAATGTACAGTATATTTAAGATCAGCAAATGACATAAAGGAGGTGTGGACATTAATGCTATATTTTATTCCAATTACCAATTTAAGTATTTGGGGCACAATTGCAGTATTCTGGGAAATAACTGAACCACGGATTGGTCCTTTAGACTACACAAATTGCTCTGGATTAGAGGAGATGAGGTCTACATTCTCCTATCTTCTTCACTACCTCAGGATATTATGGGTCAGGCAGATGCATGAAGCATCTGTTGACAGATGGTGAGGTTGGAGTTAGTACTTGCTAAAAGTCTTATACTTTCACACTGCTAGAGGATAAGAATATCTTTCTTTGGATGAGATGAGGTCAAGTTTTCTATTTATTTATTGCAATTTATTATAGTCATTTGCTATTTATTCTAATCACTCTGGTAAAACATACTGACTCATTTTTCTCTCTATTTATTCCATGCTTCAAACTAGATATGCTGGAACAATGAGATTTGGAAATGAAGGTCCTCTCACAAAGCCTCAGACTAACATACAGTTAAGACAATGAGGTGTTAAGGGAAAAACTTTTCACTGTAACTTTGCACAATTCTCTATACTGCTCTTTTTACAATTTAAGAGGGAGGGTGGATATGATCTAGAGCAGATGAAAATAGTTTGTGTCGGTACTCACAATACTCTTTCATTGAAGCCCAATCATACTTTAATACCTAAATCCAGTGTGATTTGGATAGGTAAAGATCTGACATCTAAAAAGCTACTAAGTTTATAGAATTTAAACTACAAGGGTGATTGCTGGCAACTCCAGATGTAGTAGATTAAGTTCTGTAAGATAAAAGCATGCTTGTAGGATAATGTCAAATTCTAGGAGCAATGAAATTCTAGTTGGAGTAAAATCACTACTAAAAGAGCTTAGCAGTATTGGTAAACTGTCCTAACTTGTGCTCTGTTTTGTCTTACTACGAATTTTAACCTAAAATCAATAAGAAAAATCTATAGTAGACTTAAGGAGTCCATCTGGTGTGTCAGGAGTCTTTTTAAAGACTGAAAGTAAAAAGGTAAGAGATACTGTACCTGCACTATATGTAGAGGAAGAAGGAGAGCAACAAATAAAAAATGGGTGCTGCAACTAAAATACGCTTCCGTACATATATACCATAAAAACAACTGATGCACAAAGAAGGCCAAGGTTTGCAAACTGCCAGGAACTCTGGGATGATAAAGGATATTTTAACTTTTCGGGGGAAATAGTGACATTTTGGGGACACAATAAGAAATATTAACTCACAGTAAATTCATAGCTCTAACATTAGAGTATATTATATTCCTTTGATGACATCTTATCTTTGCTAAACTGATTTTTTTATTTTATAAAGTTTTTACATTATTCTTCATTTCGTACATTTTATCATCTCAGTGTAATCCCTGTGGAATTCCCACCTCCACTTCACCCATATGCCATCACCATAGTCCCATGTGCTTTTCCCACCCCAGTTTTCATCTTGTTCCTCTCTCCTCCCCCATAGAATGAAAATGTCTCTGGTTTATAGTTGTTCATTGATGTTATTTTTTACTTTATTACAATTATAATATATGTCTATATATTATATATATACACATAATTTTCCCCCAATCCCTTACATTTTGCTATTAGTGAAACCATCCTGTTTTTTCTTTTTCTTTATGGCTTATTTCACTAAACATATTCTTTTCCAGTTCCATCCATGTTGATGCAAATGGCGTGACTTTATCTTTTTTCACTGTGGAGTAATATTCCATTATATGTATGTACCACATCTTGATCCAGTCATCTAGTTTTGGGCATATGGGTTGATTCCACATCTTCCCTATTTTAAATAGGGCAGCCACATAGGAGTGCAAGTGTTGAATTATTGGCTAAACTGAATTTTCAACAATAAAAAGCAACACCATTTAAAGACAATGTGGCGGCAGAGGAGGAGGTTCTCTCTGATTCCAAGTTTTGAAAAGTTACTTAGTATATAACAGACATATATGCTGACAGCATAAAAATGACAGGATAAAAATGAGATTAAAATATTACCCATTTTTTCCACTGTTTTTTCTCTCACAATGTACCGATTTTTAGTGCATGTTTTAAAGAAGCAACTACTTTTTAAAAAATAACAAGTGTAAGAGATTTAAAGTGCACATGATATATAGCTATATGTATACATTGTAAAGGATTAATTCCATATAGTTAAAAAGTATTCAGTCATTTATGTATTTTTATTTGTATATACTCTACGTAGATTGATTATATATATATTTGGCTGAGAACATTTAAGTGTTATTCACTTAGCAAATTTCATTTATATCATATAGTGTTTATCAACCATAGTTACTATGTCAGACCTTATTCATTTTATAAATGTCTGTACCCTTTAACCAATCTCCTGTTATTGCCTTCACCTTCCAACCCCTAGCAACCATTTTTCTACTTCTGGTGTCTCTGAGTTTGATTAAAACAACAACAACACAACAAAAACCAGAAGATTCTACATGTAAGCAATACCACACAATATTTATCTCTCTTAACTGGCTTATTTCACTTAGCATAATAATCTAAGGTCAATCCATGCTGTCACAAATGGCAGGATTTCCTTCCTTCTCATGGTTTAAAGTATTTTATTTATACACTTATACACACACACACACACACACACACACACACACACACATACGTCACATCTTTATCTCTTCATTCATTGTTCAACACTCCGGCTATGTCTCTATTTTGGCCATCATTAACAATGCTGCAATAAACTTGGGAGTGTGGACCCATCTCTTTTATACCCTATTTTCATTTCTTTAAATTTTTGAGTAACCTCTGTTCTACTTGCCTCAGTGACTACACCAATTTACATTATTTCCTCAGACAGTGGTTTCTTTTGCTTCATGTGGTTACTGCAACTTTGATCATTTGATGATAAACATTCTAAGAGGTGAGGTGGCATTTAATGTTTGTCATATGACTTGCCCTGATGATTAATGGTGTTGAACAGATTTTTTCATGTTCTAATGGCCATTTGGATGTCTATTTTGAAAAATAACTATTTGGATTTTCTGTGCATTTTAAAAATCAGACTACCTTTTTGCTACTAAGTTGTATGAATTATATATATTTTAGATATCAATGCTTTCTCAGACAAAACATTTGCAAATTATTTTCTCTTATCTACAGGTTTTCTTTGCATTTCGTTGATGGTTTCCTGTGCTATGTAGAAATTTTGTAGCTAGTAGCTACTTAATAAATGAAGCTGTTGGATAATTCTTCCATCCCTGACAACCAGAGACAGTGTAAAAAAATCATTGGTACACAGAATGTTGTGAATTGGGAGTTTGAGAGCCTTTTGATAGAAAGAGAGTTAGAGCCCACTGTTAAAAAAGGCGAGAAAGCAAATATTTTTCACTAATAGAGAAAAATCACTTAAGTCATAAAAAACTAAAGTGCAAGAAAAGGTGCGATTTTGTATAGGTGCACATGGCAAATGTCACATTAATTGGTCTTCTACGGACTTCTGAGTACAACAAAGGTTTTGGGAAACAGACTGCATACCCCAGGAATATACATTTTAAAAACTGACTTTTTACAGAGATGCCACTCATGTTAAGGAACCAACAAGAATGGGGAAACATGTGGGAACTAGCAGTAGCTGAAATTCATTATGGCTGCAACCTAACAGACAAGACGCAACAGTTACCGGAGTCCAAGGAGAACTGGATTTTGGAAAAGGGATT